TACACCCTCAATTTAAAAAAAAAACTGATTAATGAATTTATTTTCGGTTCTTGATTGCTTCATGAATCATGAATAGAATATCAAGGGGGTGCTTGGCAATACTCTTTTAAAACTTTAGAAAAAATAAAAGTTTTTAAAGACAATTTTTTGCCAAGCATAATTTATTGTTTTTAGTTTTTCTAAAGACTATGCAACTTGTTTTTTAATTTTTTGTCTTGTTTTATAGATTTTTTCTAAAGCCTCGTAGGAGTGGCTTTAGGTTTGATTAAATAAATAATTTAAATAATTTATTCTCTCTCTTCTTTCGGTACGAGGCACTCCCTAAGCAAAACTCATTATTTAAAGACCTTTTTAAATTGGTACAATTACAAAAATACCACAAAAATGGTCATTTTTTACAAGCATGCCACGTCTGGAAAGTTTTTTACAATTATGCCACATATTTTGTCCAAACGGACAACTTTGCCCCTTTCACAATAACTCGATCTTTCGTTTTCTCTCCCAAACAGAATCGCCTTGAAGAATTTTTAGAGACAAAGATCGAAGTTTTTTTTACAGATCGAAGATCGAAGCTTTTTTACAAATGAAGATCAAAGCTTTTTTACAGACGAAGATCGAAGGATAAAGGTAATTTGATTCGCGATTCGCGATATCTCAATTTATAATCTAGATATGTTGATTTTGATTTGCGATTTCTAGATCTAGATCTCGATTTCATCGTTTTGAGTCTGTACGATGAGATTTTGTAGTCGTTCGATAGTTTATTTGCATTTTTAAATGGTTTTTTATTAGCGATTGCTGAATTTGTCAATTTAGATAATTTTTAGCGATATGCATCTCGCAAACATATGAAATAATTTTTTATAAAGTTTTTTTTAAGTCTTTGTACATCTAAATTTTAAGGCAGTTTTTGTTCTTCATATGAGTCTCGTTAGATTTTTTTTTGGAATATTTGTGGACGATTAAAATCCTGCATCGAAAAAAATATATTTATAAAAGTTTTCAACAGTTTTTAAAGAGTTATTATTATATATAATTGACATGTGTATCAGAGTCAGACAGACGATGAAATCTTTCAGAGCATGAAAATGCCAGAACAGGTTTACAAACCTGGTTTTGAACCTGACGATAATAAAACGGCACAACAACATGTCAACCTGCAATTGGTTGATACTGTCCGAGCAATACTAGGACCTGAGTTGTTCAGTAGGATCGAAAATAGTTTTCTCGGTCCTATTGTACAACTTGCAC